CAAAACTGGCTTATTGTCAGGTCAGGGAACAAGAATAGTCCCGATCCCTGACAAGCGCCGTTAAACCACCTCGGCGCTGGGGCGCTATCGACAAGATGATCAAATTCCGTCTTGGGAAGTTTGACACTCAGACCCTGAGAATGTCACTGGCATGTAGCTCTTTTCTTTGAGTAATCCTTCTGACTATACCGTCTACCACCGCTGCATTTTGACGGCGTTTTGTATCAGACTGGCTGAATATGAGGAACGAAAAGACAATTTCAGCCTTGGACCAAAACTAAGCTTTTGCCACTTGAGCGGATCCTCACCAACTAAACTAATTTTAGTAATAACGTTTCGCTACTACGTCAGCGTCGCTTTGTTGAGTGATTCTGTTAATTTCTCAATTTAGGGCCCGCATGTTATGAATAAACGCTATCATTATTATTTATTTATACATTATGTATACCATGAAAACAGAAAATATCTTCGAAACATTAATGGTGTAAAATCGGCTCCACTCGCGTGGTTTACATATCACGTGGTTATCAATGTATACGCAGTAATTTCACGGGAAAACCCATTCTCATCACTTAATGTGCCCCCGTTTTTTTATGACGCTGATTTGTTTTTTGTTTGTTTTTGTCTGGTGCTCATGATAGCCCGCCCTGTTGGATTGAGGTGGATCTCCTCCAAACGACTAGGGTTTCTGGCGTCATCACACAAGGAAATAAATTCCCCTGGATCTCATATCTTGTGACAGAGTTTCAGGTGTCCTACAAGCCTACACCTTCATCTAGCTACGAGTACATCAAGGAAACCAACGGTGATATTAAGGTATAGGCTTACAGTATATAAGTTCTTCACTAATTACGCGAATCATCTAATTGATATTGAGCTAGATCCAGTTTGATGTGAGTTTCGAAAAAATGAGATTAGTGTCTTAAAAAGAAATATGCACCACACGAGCTACTTGATTAACAACAATCCACCTCTAAATGCATGGCGAAGCCTGAAGTAATTCGGTCGTTTCACAAAATGCAGTGCGCCACCAAGAGTTTGCCAATGCATTGTGGGAGATGGTCGACAAATTTGCAGCGCGGGGTATTTGAATTGTTAGTTTGCCCATGGAGGTAGAATTAGGTGGTTCGCCCGGCCAGTAGTTTCGTAAGCGTATGGTTCGAGTATCTGTTTGCCCTTTTCTTTTACTTTTTATCAATATGGTGGTTTTTTTTGTAACACGGCAGAACGCTATGCCCCAATCTTTAACAAATTAGCTTATATAATAAGTTGTCTACTGGTACTCGTTAAAATGGGCCGTGTTTTGTCCACCGGGCCGTGTTTTTGTCCAACTTGAAAAGTGGACTCTCTATGGCAAACTCTTGGTGGCGCACTGCATCCCAAGCGGAATAGAAAAGTAACTTCATCGTTCTTATCAGATTTTTTTTTAAGCAGTTAATTTTCACAGCGTTTTCTAATTTGTTTCTCTTCTTTTTAGTTGTTTGATGGCGGGGATTTCATCTTTGCTTCTACCCCACACACTAATTACTTCAACCAGTCCATCATGGCGTCTACTGTACGCATTCACCCTACTGTATACCTCATTGAAAGTGCGCTTCGGTTTGAGTTGATTCAATGTCCAATGGATTAATTTCATGTGGATTGACATTCATTAACCTAAAAATGATCCCTGGTACACTGTTGTTTCTTTTCAAAACAAAATCGGAAAACGGACCATTTATCTTAGAGCATTTGTGCTTTTTGGAATGACTGTGAGAGATTGAAGCGATTCTGACAAGCTAGCACCCTTGAACATAAATATTGAAATAACGTGTATCCGCCAACATGGGGCCTGATAGCCAAGTTTGCAGAGCACTGGTACGACTTTGCAGAGGTCGCATGTTAACCCTGCTCCTGTCAGTTTTCTCTGTTTAACTTTCTACTTATTTATATATGCACCTATAATCAATTTGCGCTTGCTGTTTATTCGACAATTAAAATTAAAAGTGCATAGTATAGCTTTTGGCGGATTTGTATAGATAGCGCTTGGTATATCCGTGTTGTTCATTTCGGAGTGTCTCGACGGAAAATTTTGATATCGCAGAGATTTGGTGAATTATTTAGTAAATGTTTATATCTAAAAGTTTTACATTACAACTAATTCATGTTATCAATATCAAGCTTTACAAACATGCAGTAAATGAACATAGTTTTGATGCATTGTGGTTCACATCTTCATATAAGGATCGTATACACCTCAATTATTCTAAGGCTTTTTGAGGTTTACATTATGAGCTCTAATTTGCGAATTACACGTTACTTCAACAACTTTATCTTTAGCACACAAACACGACATCTTTGATATAAACGTAATTGACAAAGACATAACTTTGTTGTTCCGAGATACTTAAATTTGTGACCTTGTGGAGACATTTCTTTGTTCTCGTGTACTAAAGTTTTTGAGTTTGAAAGTACAGCTTCAAAATGCTCTTATTTCAACCAGAATTAATTTTTGGCTGAAATTCGGATACAATCTTTTGTTCCCTATTGTGTGCATGTCTCCAGAGGGCACAGTGTATCAGATCCTGTACAGAGGTTACGTATAGTGGCTGTTTCACACACAAAAACAACAACCCAAGTCACTAACCTTTAGGCTGCCGTATAAGGGCATTTATAAAGGGTTTTAATCTACATTTATGTGGTATTTTGCTTAGTGTGTTGTTTGAATATTTATTTAGACTATTTGAAATGGTATATGAAATACGAGTAGAAAATATAATCACTTTTCGGTTCAAAACACAAGTATTTTACATTAATTCTAAAAACAGTCTATAGCGAATATGTTTCTGAGAATTTCGAAACATGCATTGAATAAACTGTCATGAAAGTAGACCCCTGTGAGTAATTTGATTCCACTGAAACCAACGGAAAGTACAATCCAGTGTTTGACGGAAATCGTGATGAAATATTCCAGTCTTTTCTCGGACAGCAAAATATCTGTTTTTCACTTTTGGTTGCTCAGCCACCGTGCCGTGTCTAATTTGCCATCAACCATCCATTCCTGTATTAATCCAACTTCCCCACATGTCATATCACCCCTGCCTGACTGTCGCATCCTTGAAGGAGTGGCATTACTACGGGTGGGGGAGGGGGACGGGGTTGGGGGCGCGCTTTCCCCAGCGGCTTTTCGTGACCCCAACCACACCACCCACCCCTACCCGGGTGCCCCTTCCCCACCATATGTGTATCACTTGCCTTCGGGTGCCCCCCCCCCCCTTGAACAGTGTGCGCAGCCCCAGGCGCACCCTTGGAATGTTAACCCCTGTTACGTCACTGCCTGGAAGGCTTTCGTCTTCTGTTCCAAAATTGGGTTGTTTCATTTCGAGTTCATCCCGACCTGTGCCAGTGTCTGACGGCAACCGCCATTCACTCTTTGCGAACTCAATTTATCTCGAAAAACAACATCAAGTACCACACTGCCGAGGTCGTTGGACTTCGGTCGTTTATTTTGCAAGCTTCAAGCAACTATGCAGTCGTTTAATTTCTCAAAGAGCTTCATTTCGGCAACTATAGACCATGTCCTCAAGTAGAGCGATTAGTTTTGAGTGCTACCACAATCCCATCAGTAAAAAAAAGCCTCGTGTAACGTCGGGGTACATGGAGTAGTTTGGTTTTGTTAGTATAGATAGTCGAACTTAATCAGAGAAAGTTAGAGGTAACCAGCGTCCATTCTGCTGATGAACGAAGCTACTGAGTCCATACCAGAATTGGTATTACGATCATACGTAATTCCAATAACCATTACGCCATTTCTACCACTATCCATTCATTAGGTTAATGTGGCTTATCATCCATCGGGCACGCATCGAAGTAGCCAAACTGATGGCCAGTCATTCAACTCTCGCATACAAATGAAGAGTTGGTTATTTTGTTGACATCTTCCAGGTTTGGTCTCCGTTGGTATCATTCACCTTAGATTGTAAGACCTAACTTTAAGCTTTCACTTCCAACTTGTCACTCGCATGAGGGAGGGGTTTATTTCGCCGCGACATAAACTGAAAGGAGCTCCATGACTTCAATAATTATTCTGTTTCTTCTTTTTCTCTTTTTTTTTCTAATTTCCTCTCAGTTCTAAGTATTCTTCATAAGGTCAGTTGTTTCCTAAACTGCAGCTTCCTTTGAAAGGCTGGATGAAGATGCTTACAAAGTCTTTTAATAATTAAATATTTTCATCCGGACGCGACGTCGTCCAAATTCAATGTTTTTAAAAAATCGCCTACAATCAAACACATTTAGTTCGGAAGTGTATTTAGGAAATGCCCCCCAAAAAATCCCGGGCCTCTATTTCGCCTGGGCGGATTACTTTTTCGCCCGGGTGGATTACTAATTTGCCCGGGCGAATTACTATGTCGCCCGGGCGGATTACTAATTCGCCTGGGCGAATTACTATGTCGCCCGGGCGGATTACTTTTTCGAATTAGTAAATCTGCCCTGGCGAATTAGTAATCCGCCCGGGCGGAATAGTAATCCGCCCGAGCGGAATAGTAATCCGCCCGGGCGGAATAGTTATCCGCCCGGGCGGAATAGTATTCCGCCCGGGCGGAATAGTAATCCGCCCGTGCCAAATGGTTATCCGCCCAGGCGAAATGGTAATCCGCCCGGGCGAAGTAGTGGGCTTAAAAGTATATTTTCAGTCATGTCCTAAATACGCTTCCGTAGCCAGGCACTCAAACGTTGATTAGATTCTGTTTATTTTCCTGCAATGTCGCAACCGATTTTATTTTTGGTGAAAAGCTCATTTATTTAAAGTGACTTTGTCCACCCAATTTATGCAATCCGTTAAAACCCCTGTGATGTAACATCGAAATGTCAGTACTCGTGTTCAACTCTCGTAGCAAGTTTCAGTCTGACGCGAACCTATGTCAACAGACTCAGCATTGTTTCTCGGTTGGTGTAGATGAGCACAGCCAACGAATTTTGTCCGCAAATTTAGTAGACCAGATTTGTGGAAGTGAATAATCATGTTGCGGTTCGTGGCAATTGTGTCATTCTTTGCAACCATCAGTGGTAAGTTTGCTCAAGTCGGTGAAATCGTCCCCGTTTTCGCTAAGACCCCTTGAAAATCGCCCAGTCTTGTAAAACTAGGAGTTTTGTATTGTTTTTCTCTTTATTTGGTTTTTTTTTCACGAGTTAATGCAAAATCGGTTAACATTGAGAAGAGTTTCAGGTCGTTTCCCTGCAAAATAGTTTCGCTCTTCTCCGCAGTCTGCATGGGCCATTCTTTTTAATCCGATATTTCCCCTTTTAAAATTAATTAAACTATTATTGCCTCTCCTCAATAGATTTCTCTTTATGCAGGCAAGTAAAGTCATGGCCCTTTTTTTGTCGAGTTCCCTGAATTGATTTATTAATTGTTAACTGTTGATTCATTGATTGTTAACTGTTGAATGGGATGGCGCCAGACTTTTTATGCAGGCACAATGCAGCCTTATTTTAGTGTCTTTTTTTTTTTTTTAAATATGGCTTTAAACATTAGGGAACGTTTAATTACAAAAGTTAAATTATTCATTGAAGCAGACTGGAATTTATCAAATATTAACTTGTTTCCATTTACCTAACGTTCAATTCAACATGACCGATTCGTGCATAAGGCCCATTCACCTTAGGCCTAAAACGCATGCCAACATTTCGCGTGATGTCATGTGAATTGTAAATTAGATTTCACGGTGGGAAGCGTGGCTTCACTATGGCTTGTTTACAAGCTTTGATGGCGGTCACAATGCTGAAGGTTGCGGGTTTGTGTCTGCGCAATTTGTTTTCTTGAATTGTGTTTATCAAGTCCTACCAATTTGCAAAATGATTCCTTTTTTTTTTGGCTGACTCATGGCCCCAAAGAATATTTTTATAAGGGAAATTAAGTCCGAGAAGCACTCCGTTATACCAACAGCTATATATATATATATATGCACATTGTGGTCATTGGCTTATACTAAATAATTGCGAGCGGGAGGGGCCGTGGCACAACGAAACGGAGCAAAGCCTCTGGCGGGCTAGGGGGGGGGGGCGTGCCCACAAAGCCCCCCTCAGGTTGCATTCTTGTTACAGTTTTGGGAACACATTCATATAAGCGGTCATTATAGTACAGGAAATCCTTGCGATTTTCAGAATGAACTGAGTGTTGAAGTATTGAAAATTGCCAAGATCATCGGCCGAGTAGTCGTATCCGAATTTGTAGGAAATTCTACACTCTGATTATGAAACTTTGACATGCAAAGTTAAAACAAAAATGTGGTTTTCGACAATCCAAGCTGTCTTGTCTCTGGATTGTGTGGTTTCAATAGGAATATAGAAATGAAAATATTGCAGTGAATGTGTTCTGTGTGCTTAATTCGATAGTTCTAGTATTCATGGACTGTGTGGAGAGCAAGGCGAGGGTTTGTTTCTTCGGTCAACCACCGGAGCTGGATGCAGCAGACATGCACCAATGGATGGCACAGTTCATGGAGTTAGTACGGAAAAGATGCCCGAGACAATGCAGTGATGATACTGCGAATGGTAAGTCGAAATAATGAACTTCTACAGTAAGCAAAATATAGGAAGCACATTTTGTTAGGTATTCTGTCAAAACAAGATACGTTTGCGCGGAGCTTGATGGAGAGATTTGACAAAATAAAAAGTATGCGGGGTTGAGTATATTATTCGATTTCAAGTGTGGTTTTATTCAAAAAATTTTTTGTCAAATTTGTAATTCCAAATATGTCTTGAATATAGTGTGAAATGTCAGGTGATGGCCTGAAATTTATAAATTGTATCAATGGATAAATTGTAAGGTTTTCAGAATTGCATTACCAATACCTTTCATCGGCCTTTGTCTCTGTTTTTACCTTTGTGAATTTATGGATTTCAAATGGGCATCAACTTGGCAAGAAAGGTCCTTTTTCAAACCATAAAGTGCCATTGTAAAGAAAACGATCTAAAATTTCAATATTATATACTTATTTTATCAAACAGTCCGGGGGGGGGGGTACAACCTTATGAAACGTCTTGTAATAGCGCGTTGTCTGATCGGCGTGAAATTTTGTGACAATTTTTTTTCAAATTTTATCAGGGGTCAGGTTTAGTGGAATGCCGTGGCAACCGATTTAACTTAATAGACTGCGTCACATATACTCTGTCTTATTTTTTAACATTTCCTCCGTTTACAACATTTCCTCCGTAAATGCAAGACATGTATTTTTGGGGGGACCCAGACTTTGTTATATGATTACTAACCAATATTAACACTAAATTTCTCCATTCTCCAAACAAGAGAACAGCTTCACATTATTGTGTTGTCGTTATTGAAAGCGTTACTTCAATTGAAAAGGAAATGGAAATATCATGGACGAAATCACACTATCGAATCATTTGCGGTATGCTTATCCCTTCACCTTTTCATCCATGTCTTATTTTGATCTTGACAGTAGATACTTGTCAGCGACTGGGTCTTGAAGACGGCACCATTCCTGATGAGCGTATCCGAGCATCAAGTGATGGTGACTTTCATCCTGCCGCCATGGCACGACTGAATGGCCCGTCGTATTGGAGTCCGTCATACTAGTAGGTCACTGCTCCCATGTCAGACTGCGCGGTTGGGTTGGGTCTTAGTCTAAGACTGTACTTGCACCTTTTTCTGCCATTCCAGTCCCGATCTTGCAAGTGTCCTTAATCCATCTCGGCGCCAGGGGGCGCTGTCAACAAGATTTTTGTAATTGGGATTTTATTTTAATTTTTAATTGGCCCGTTTTATTTGGGGTCCGGACCGCTGGTAGGTCACTGCTCCCGTGAGTTTATTGCGTGGTGGGATCGGGTCTAAGTAGTTCATGAATAGATTTGTAGTTTTCCCCCTGAAGCCCGCGGTTCATACTCTGCGCGAAAGCGAAAGCAAACGCGAATTTGTGACGTCGTGGCAAGTATATTCGCGCTGCGAATTCGTAAAAGTTGAACACATTTCAACTCGGGCGAATTTCGCAGCGAATGGTTCACGACGTCAAATTCGCTTCGCATTCGCATTCGCATGAAGTATGAAATGGGCTTCAATAAGCCGGCTCATACTTTAGTCAGGCAGCTTAATGAATGGATGTGGACATTCCGGACAAAAGCGCCAAATTTTCCATACATGCTCCTCAATGACTTAGCTTTCAGCTGTTGATAGGAACCAACTTATTCAATGACATTATGGCGGCCATCTTGGATTTTAAAGATGGCGGCCATTAAAAACCTGTATCTACCAATATCTCATCTTCTAAGCCTCCTAGGATTAAAGTTTTGGTGTCTAAACATACATTTTCAGGGTCAAAGAATGCAACTATACCATTTGGGTTAGTGTCAAATGATTAGTTTGTCCAAATACAGTATTGTGGCCATCTTGTGTTTGAAACGTATGGCCGCCATTTAAAACCTAAATCTCCGAATATGTGTTTTGCATCTTTAAGCCACTACGGATCTAAATCTTGGTGTCTAAACATATATTTTCAGGGTCATGGAACGCAACTAAACAATTTGGAGTAATACTACATGTACGTGAATTTAGGGATCTTGTCAAAATGGTCAGTTTGTCCAGAAACTTAATACGGCGGCAGTTGCCGTAAAAGGACCAACACTGTCCCGATTCAGGCTTTGTACATTTTTGCCATTATGGTTTGACATGAAAGGGCCGGCACCGGTCCCATTCAGGTTGTGTACCGTCTTGCCATTACGGTTTTTTCATAAAGGGACCAACACTGGCCCGATTCAGGCCTTTTACCGTCTTTTCATCATGGATTATCGTAAGGACCTGGAATGGCCCGGTTCAGGCTGTGCGCCGTCTTGCTGTTATTGTTTACCTTAAAAAGACCAGCACTGGTCCGATGCAGGCTCAGAACGGTGTTACCATAACCGTTTGCCACTTAATAGGGCGAGCCCTGGACCAATTCCACTTCTGTGGTGTCTGTACCGTCAACACGGAACCGTTTTGGTGCAATCGAGCCAGCATTAGCCCGCTTCTGGTCTTGTACCGTTTAAACTTTATGGTACTGCCACATCAGCTGGTATCGGCCCAATACCGTCCTGTTTACTAGGTCAATGCCATCTTTGAACCTAGGCAGGTAGAAATCTCTGGCACTACAGGATGTGATACAACTCTACCTCTCCCAACTACATGCAGCTGAACCACTACTGTAGCTCCGTTTGATTAAGGCGGGTCTGTGGTCGGCTAGTCCTGGTTCTCAAGCGGCTGATAGTTTTCCATTGAACCCATGTCGATGTAGCACCTGTTAGGAGGTTTTCTGCCGTTGTTACAGTATAACCATGACAATCGGTTGGCGTTTGCTCCCAGGCGTTGCTTCCAGTGTTGCTACTTCCCTGGATGTTGTGAAGGAGTGGGCAGGCTGAGGAAGCTTTTCATGATTTCAGCCTTTCGTGCCGAATCTTGCCGTACCTGGAGGAGGCGACACTCGTCATTTATCAATATTTGGACATCTTAGCAAGGCTGGCATTTTCCTTTCGGAAATTCGAAGAGGAAATGCCAGCAAGGAAGTGCAAATTACTTGTGTTGGTGGGTTTCAAGCATCCAGTGATCAAACTGCGTGATTTTTAATGCTGGGTCAGGTTTCATGGTATGGGCTGATCCCTCCCAGGCGGGGCACGCATACTCTGCTGAAGAATGGCGCGGAGCCAAAACGGTTCATCTTAGGGTGTGTGGTTTGGCTCTCCTTTTGGAGGTTGTTCAATTTCTTTATGATGTTGTTACGGGGAAATTTTTTTGGATGACTTGAATGACAGGATACGATGGAGGGTCACCCTAAGGTAGAAAGGATGGCTACAAGGGACCAAGGTGCCAATGGTGTTCCGGACCATTTGATGTTAAGGGGTCGGTTGGCTTCGTGGTTAACGTTCCTGAGATGGAACGAGCAGACTTGGGTCTTAGCAGCAAGATTGGCAAGGAGGTGATTGCACTCTTAGAATAGAGACGGCTAAGTGCTGAGGTGAGTTTTGCTTCTATGGCTTTGAACGGAATCTTTTGAGATGTAACACAAAGATCGTCTGCGTAGATAAAACGCCCAGTGTCGTGGTCTAAATTAAATTGTGATTTTTTTTTGTGGAGACGTTATACAGCAACCGAGCTAGCACAGTGCCTTGAGGTAGAACGTTTTCTTGCCGTCGACAGCGTTTTTGTTTTGTTCTGAACAAAGAAGCCGTCTTTGAGAAGGGCTCCGATATGATCCGTAAATGCGAGGTATTGGGCCAACTCCAAGATATTTTTAGGAGGCGGCACGGTGGTTTACAGTTGTGACTGAAAGATCCACAAAAATAGCTCCACTTATTTGTCGTTTAGAAACCCATCCTCAGGTTGCTGTGCCAGGTTAAGAGTTGGCTTGTTGTTGACTTGCAGTGGCGTAGCCACCGGGGGGCGTGGGGGGCGACCGCCCCCCCCCCATGAAACCTTGTCGCCCCCCTTACTACGACATCATTTTCCAATTTTCTATAATCAATACTTCAGATTTGTCACCTCCGTACGTACCGCGTTATCAGCACTATTCTCATCGCATACTCGTAAGCTTTTCAATGATTCTGTGCCAAAGTGAAGTCTTTTGGTGAGTGCGGACTCAGAGTCATTTATGGATGGAAAAATAAGTAAAATTTCAGGAATGAAAAAGGTTTAGTAATGGACGAACTCGCAACAAAAATAAGGCCTATAGTGTAGTTTTAGGATACCACGTGCGCTTTTGCATGCACGGTGCTAGCCCGTAGTTCAGCGGTTGTTTATTGTGCATGTTGTATACGCTGGAAATGTTCACATGAGCTACACGCCTGAAAACGTGTTTCTTCGTTCATGAGACCGCAACATTTTCGCGCCACTCGTGCACCGGGCGGATGTTAACAGGTCAAATTGCCGGATCAGATCCACCTTTTGCGTTCCCATCTGATCGTGATCCGGCAATTTCCGGATCTGATCCACCAATTGGGGGATCTGTAACCTGGTCCAGAGGTGGATCAGAAAAGGTGGATCTGATCCTGATCCACCTTATAACGGTTAGCGTTCACACTACACACAATTGCCGGATCTGATCGGACCCCGTTCCCACTTGATCCACCAATGGGGGGATTTGATCCACCTTTTGCCAAATTGCCGGATCAGATCCCCCAATTGGTGGATCAGATCCGGCAATTGTGTGTAGTGCGAAAAAGGTTGCGGTCTCATGAACGAAGAAACACGTTTTCAGGCGTGTAGCTCATGTGAACATTTCCAACGTATACAACGTGTATGCACAATAAACAACCGCTGAACTACGGGCTAGCACCGCGAATGCAAAAGCGCACGTGGTATCCTAAAACTACACTATAGGCCTTATTTTTGTTGCGTGTTCGTCCATTACTAAACCTTTTTCATTCCTGAAATTTTACTTATTTTTCCATCCATAAATGACTCTGAGTCCGCACTCACCAAAAGACTTCACTTTGGCACAGAATCATGGAAAAGCTATTACGAGTATGCGATGAGAATAGTGCCGATAACGCGGTACGTACGGAGGTGACAAATCTGAAGTATTGATTATAGAAAATTGGAAAATGATGTCTTAGTACATCATGTGACCGTTTCTAACCAATGAGAAGCTTCAGAACCAGGGAATCCCTTATCGATGCATTGGTTTCTGCCGTGATGTCACACAATGAGCGGCTCTGTTGGATTTCACCTGTTAATTTATGCACGCACGGATCCTCTACGCATCCGTGATTTATGTTGGTGAATTCGCGTAATTTTTGTCGGTGAATTCTGATAGTGCTGTTTGAAAACTGACCCATCCTGGCCTAGCATGCAATCATGCAACAATGGCACTCCCACAGAGCGCGCGTAATTCCGAACTCAGCGACCTTTCGGACCAACATTTCCGTTCGAAAAGGTGGATCATTCATAAGTGGGAACGCGACTTGCGGTTTTGTTGCGGTAAGATAACGATCACACCAAAATGCCGGATCTTGATCCACCTTTTTTCCAATTCAAGTGGGAACGCGCAAGCCCAGCAATTCACAGCCCCACCAGGTAACTCCCAAAGACTTAACAGGTCATGTGTGTACAAGAACCCCAGGTCATGTGTGTACAAGAACCCCTAAGCTCCGCTTAGATAGTAACATGACGCCCCCCCAAAAAAAATGTTCCAGCCCCCCCCTCCCCCCCCCCCTTAACAATTCCTGGCTACGCCACTGTTGTTTTACTTATATTTCATACAGTATTTTCGACGACTGCAGTATATATCAACGGTATTCTGTTAGAGATTTTATCTTCAGTTTGACTATTTTGTGTGTATAACTCAAATCATCTTGGTCTCTTCTGAATAAAAGAGTTGTATTTCCTGACCCTAAAATGTATGTTTTGACACCGAGACTGTGATTTGATATGAGGTAGTAGCTGGCCCTATGAGGTAGTAGTAAGGCCCTCTCGGCTTCGCCGCTCGTGCTAGTCTTTTTACATGCCAGATAGTCCGGGTATAGGCGCGTAGGACTTGACTAAAGGCTAGTTGTATCCAAGAATCATGTTAAGTTTATTTATATAGGGCCTATACAGCGAGAAATAGGCTCATA